TCCTCATCCCCCTCCTGACCACCGCCAAAGCCACCCTCTACCAGCCCCTGGACGACATCATCGACTCCATCCAGGACGAACTCGCCCCGCACCTGCGCCATGTCCTCTACACCGAGCCCTTCCGCGCGACCATCCACGCCCGCGCCGCCGCGATCTGCGACGCCGTCGAAGCCGGCGACGAGAAGCTGTTCCGCTTCAGCGAGAAGAAGCTGCTGATGGAGCTGATGACGAAAGCGGAGAGGATCCTTGCGGTGCACGAGGGCAAACTGCCCCCGAGCCTGGAGGAGCGGTTTGTGCGGAGCGAGCTGGCGATGCCGTTGATGGGGGTGAAGAAGAGCAACCCGTCCTCCGCCGTGACGGTGGAGGTCGTTGTGCCGAACGGCGGCACGAATGGGGAGAATAAAGAGAATGAGGTCGAAAACGGCAAAAGGGAGGAGGCCCCGGTAGCAGCCGAGGCTTCGATACCGACGACGACGACCGCGGGTCCAGAAGAAGAAGAACTGCTCCCCGAAGGTCCGTCGACCCCCGATGGCGTGGCGGAGCTGCTGCGCATCTCGACCGCGTTGACTTTCCTCAAGGAGTCATACCTGTCCAAGGAGATGGGGGCCAGGATCGATGCGATGCTGGCTGCCCCCGACGCGCCGCGGGACTTCCGGCCCATGCGGGAGCATCTCGAGCTCGTTGCGAAATTGAGGAAGGAGGCCCTGGCGGCGCGGTCGCTGGGGGATTTCAGTCGCAAACGCAGTGCTGAGGACGAAGAGGCGGCGGAATCGCGGGCGGAGAAGAAGAGGCGGCAGGAGGAAGAGGAGAAGAAGAAGAAGGCCGGCGAGTCCAGAGGCGTAAGGGACTTGAAGAAGGTCAATACCACCGGGATGAAGAAAATGAGTGATTTCTTCGGAAAAGCGGCAGCAAAAAAGAAGGCCTGATTTGGCTGTTTGTTGGTTTCTTCTTGATGGCATTTGGGGGCGGGCGTTCACTGGATCGGGGATTGGTGTATGTCATTTATGGGTCATTTGTAGAACGGCGTGCCGTGTATTACGAAAATCGCATGACATGTAGAATCGGAAGGGTGAAGAGATACTTGACCACGAAATACGAAGACGGCGGAGAATTGAAGACATGTTCATCGTTTGGTATTCAATTTGATTGGATATCTAAGGGGAGACCAAGACAGAACCTAGCACGTCCCTCAAGCTAAACTAGTGATCTACCTAAGGTGAGTGAGAGTGAGCAGGAGAGCCCGAAAAAGCAGGTGGGGGAATCATAGACATCGTAGCAGCGATCAATGATTCGGTCCAAGTGCAAGAAGAGAATCGAGAAGAGAAGATAGAAAGGAGAACAACGCCAACCATATGTGCTTCGCCAAACCCAGCCATTTCCATCCCGCTTTAACCCGCATCCCATAGAGCTGCTATCCTCCCTTATCGCGAGTGTCGGTCTCATAATCATGTGAGTTTGGTACGTGCTGTGTGAGCCAGACATCGGCAGGATAGTCGAATGCATCGATCGAAGTAAACAAAGAGAGAAAGAGCCTAGAACGCTAGAACACGCAGTGAGGTAAAGATCAGAAAAGGAAAACTGGAAGACAGATTCGGAAAACACCGTATGACTCCTTTGCTTGAGTTGGTAAGATCGATAAAAGTTGAGCTTCATCCTCAGTGGTATTATGTCGGTCACCCTAGCCTTGTCATCATGATATCGACGTAGTTGCGCGATTGCTGCGGGTCTTCTTCTGAACGGGCCCAGGACTGGCAGCAGCGTCCGCGTCACGCTTCTTCGCCTTGGTACCAACCACGGGAGGAGCTTGCTTGCTTCGAAGCCAGCCGTCGAAGGGACTAACGCGCTTTCTTTTGGTTTCGGAGCCCGGGGTAGACGGGGTTTCGCTCTTCTCTTTGCTATCTCGCTTGATTCGAGAGCGCAGGGAACGTTCTGTGCCGCCAGGAGATGAAGGGGAAGCTGCGGTAGTCCGGAGAGGTGTGACACAGCGCTGCAGCATGTCGAGATCGAGGTCGGCATTGTCTGTCTCTTCAGCCTCAACATCAAGTAGATGATCCTCAATATCTGTAGCTGCTTCTTCGTCCGCTTCACCCGTGCCATCCTGCTGTGCATCAGAAGCCGCAGAGCGGAAGAGCACGCGGGGTTTAATCGATGAGCGAGTGAGAGGTCGAAGCTTCGCGACCACAGATTCATCGATCAGATCTGGACGGGCCGCCAGCAAGCCCAGGTCATCATCGTCTTCGTCCTCGCCGCAGCTGTCAACGTCATCGGTGAACTTGCGGAACATTTTCTTGCCACGGCTGCAAGATAGAGTTAGAACATGCCAGACATAGTAGGAATAGAGTAGGACTTACAATACGTAGACCATGCCATCTTCACGCCTGACTGACTCCTCAACTTCCTTGTCACGGATCATCTCTTTGCGTCGGGAAGTGCGGGTGCCTGTGTTACTGCTGGGCTTCTTGTAGAACGGGTTTCCTTCACTCTTATCCAACTCTGGGACACGATCGCGAGAGTCGGTGTAAATCTTGATCTCCGTTCCGCTTTGGCCGAAATCCTCAGTGAAGCTATCTAGCGAAAACCCAGTATGTTTCTTGGACTTCTTCCGTGAGCTGGAACTGGGAGGCGGAGGGAAGAGAACTCTGGCGGTATTCCCAACATCTGCGACTGCCTTCTTCCGTGGCGTTTTTGCTGGTGTGGGCAGCATCCCTTCAGTGAGTGTGGGTCGAAGAAATTGTGGAGGACGAGTGTGAAAAGGCTCGGTGTTGAAAGGGTCGGAGTCGTCGAGAGTGGAGTGTGGTAGTGAATGTGTTCCAGTGAGCCGGCCCGCCTTTTGCTTCCGAGGGGAACTTTGGACAGAGCCTGGTGGTGACAGTGTCGCTGATTCCCGGGCGTCTTGCTTCTTTGGAAGCTTTGAGCTTGCGCGCGCAGGCGGAAAACCAGGCGGCGGCGTGGTCTGAGACTCTCTGGAAGCACGTTGACTGGCTAGTCTGGATGAATAACGCGTAGAATAAGGCTCATAGTGATCATATTTAGCACCATGTCGGGGGGTGGGAGGAATCCGTAGCGTGGAAGGCGGCGGTGGTGTTGTCGCCATTTTGTGTGAGAAGCGTGTATCCTAGGTGACGATATATAACCTCAAACAATCCCAGCTCCAAGCCAACAGAGAACGATCGCTGAATCGTGATGTAATTGATTCCAAGAGAGTCGCAAAGGATGGGTGTTGTGCAGGGTCCGTTCCAAGCCGTGGTGCAAGCAATCCAAGGGAGACAAAGGGAGGAAAACGCGCGACGACCGGGAAGCCGACTGCTTCTCCAACGCGAGTAACCAAGCCGGTCAAAACTGGACAGATAGGATCGGATGGGAGCGAAAGAATGGGTGATATACGTGATAGTCGGGGGGGTGGTGATTGTGGAGGTGACAGTTGGGTAATTCAATGGTGATTGTGGTGGTGGTGGTGGTGGTGGTGGTGGTAGCAGAGTTAGTGATTGAATGAAGAAAGGATGGGGAAGTTGGTAAAGGGAAGAGAACTTGGTTGGCTGGTTGGAGGGGGGAAATGCCGGTGGGCAGGCGGGTTTGGGCGCGAACTTGGAAGGGCGGAGGAGCAACGCCCGTGGTTGTGGAATGCTCTTGTTTCATTCCCAGCCACACCAAACCCATCTCCCGTTTGACTCGACAACCTTCGATCGAGGCTTCGACAAATCCCTAGTCTATGATCAGTGGCTGAACACGCCCCACGATTACTATCCGACGATCCGCGCCTTGTCATTTATCCATTGGTCACTTAGCTACGCGCTACAGACTCAATTAAATTCGAGTTTATCCTTTCTCGATCCGCCCCTCTCTGCACCTCCCACTTCCCCTCCGCCCATATCTTCCCCTCCTTCCCCTCCTTCACAGAATTACGGCATTTCGCAGCTTAGCAGATGATATGAATCTGCAATTATCTGACGATGAATCCGATGATCTCTGGAACTCGCCTTCCAAGCGTGGAAATAATCGATATGCCTCCAAAGCGGTCAAGGAGGAGAGCTTGTCCCCCGAACCGACAAAAGTGCCTGCCCATGATGATGGAGAGTATGATGATGGCGAGACGATGTTTGACCGCCAAGAGGCGCGTGAAGCCGCTTTGCGCAGCGAGCTAGAGAGCGTTCGTAAGATTAACCAAGTCATCGAGGGTCTCCTCGGGAGCCTTGACCGTGCCAAAGGGAACATGGATGTGAGTCTGGTGTCACTGCGTCATTGTTTAGAACTATAGTCATTGATTGTTAACTCAATGTAGACTGTTTCACGAACGCTCGACTCCGCTTCTACCCTCCTGAATACCTGGACCCGGATTCTCTCCCAGACCGAGCACAATCAGCGTTTGATCCTCAACCCGAACTGGCAAGGTGCAGTTCAAGATGTGGCCGACTCGGAACACGAGGAACTTCTCCGGCAGCAGGCTGCCGAGAGACGCGAACGAGAGCTTCAACAACAGCGCGAAGCTGCTGCCCGCAAGGCTGCGGAAGACGAGAGAAAGAGAGCCGCCGCTGCCAGCGCCAGAGGCACCCGCGGGTCGAGTTATGGAAGAGTGCGCAGTGGCTTGGGAAGAACTCCTGGCATCTCATACTCGGGCACACGACCTGGCGCCACACGGACAACGGCGTCCTCAACCACAACGGGGAGACCACCTACGATTAGTACGACACGTAGACCGGCTAGTGGGATTGCGAGGGGCTCGGGGATTGCGCGTGGGCGCGGCCGGGGCTAAAATGGTAAATATGGCATGACGATTGTGGATGAGACATGTATAGTATGAGACAAATGAAGGCGATACCCCTTATGAGAAGACAACTTTCGCAAAGCCAATCACTACGTGCCCTTTCTCCGTAGCACATATTCATGATGTAAACAAAAGATGTCGCGGGGGACGGATATTGTTGCCTAAGGCACCGAGCCGCATCACCGCCCCATACTAGTTAATTGCGATCCACTGCGATAAAGCTTCCATCACCGCCGATAAGCTTGCGCGACGTTGCCTGGCTTGCAACTTGACCATGGACTCATCCTCCTCAACACCATGAATTTTGCCCCTTACCAGGACGAATCGCCCGAGGTGGAACGTGCATTCTCCCCCTCGCTGGGCGAGGCGCACCGTACGAGACCCCCCAATATCCAGTCCCCGCGCGGCTCTCCAGCCCCTGGTCTTGCATCCCCCGGCCTGCCATCCCCGAGCCACTTCGCCGGTGGTGCAGGTGCAGGTGCAGGTGCAGGCAATGTCAACAACACCAGCGGCCACGGAAACACGGGCTTTGGGAATGACCTCGAGGGCGGCCGGTTGAGCCTCGGCGCCTTCGACACCAGTCTCCCCATCCGCATGGACGTCGAAGCAATGCTGGCATATCTGCTTCTGCCTCCCGCCGGTGGTGTTTTTCTCCTTTTGGTGGAGCACAAGAGCGACTACGTACGGTACGTTATATGCCGGCCACGCCAGACATCGGCCAATCCTATACTTCAGCGTCTTAGTCCTGCTGCTAACTGGGATCTAGATTCCATGCATGGCAGTCGAGCATGCTCTTCACCGTCATGTTTGTAAGTCTTTCCTTCTTAAACTTATTGCAACCCGTACTCCAGCCCATACGAGGAGGCCATGGGCTCACCACTTTCCCCAGATCATCCACCTTATCTGCTCCGGGTCAAGTTTTCTATCCTGGCTCTTGTTCGTCGGCGATCTTGCGATGATCGGGTTCTTGAGCATGCGTGCTTATCGCGATGGTAGGGCCGGCTCTTCTCTCCCTCTCTCTTGTTGACCGGGTTCTGCGGTTATCACGCACGTGCTGACATCTGTTTCCCCCGCCACAGTTGATACGCTCGATCACTTCGAGGTCCCTATCTTTGGCCGCCTGGCTAACTCCTTTGTCGATGACGAATAAAACCTAATCTTAGTTGTGGCGAAACCTGCAGAGGTGTTCATTCGATGCGCTGGATGGGAGTCGGGTCGTCGTGCCGTGCATCCCCCTTGTTGAACTCTCGGGAGGTTCTCAGATTGAGTAGAGCTCTTTCCTTGTACAGTGCCGGGTCGAGAACATAATCCATAAGTTCCAGCGTGCATATATCTTAGCTTTCCGGGTTATCATTTGTATGCTGTATATGTTTATCCACTACGTTTATCCCGCCAGATATATACTTGGCTAGGTTGATTTCACTCCTCGATATCCGAAGCAGTCGGAAAAACCAAGTGCAGCCTTGTCACTTGCCCTTTACATCAGGGGTTCTCATCTCCAATATCCCGATGGCCAGTTCTTGGCTTGTCATGGTTAAGGGCTCATTTGCGTACATCGGGCCTGATTGTGCAGGTAGAAGACCCCGGCCTATGATCTATGAGGCAGGGATACGGGAGAACATGTACTGTACTTCGTAGCTTGCGGAAAGCTTCCGCACCTAATCCTAGATTCAGACAATTTCATATTCGGGATAACAACATTCTTTAACCGAGCCCCAAACCACAAGAAAACGAAGGACAATCGTCATACTAATCTGACAAAGAGGTATCGCGAACTCATAAAAGGACCGACTTCCAAACTCATAAAAGGACCGACTTCCAAACGACAGGGCTTGCAAAGGACAGTGATGGTCGAGGGGCAGCAAAGTAGGTAAGAGAGTGATTACATGGCTTGGGAGACGAACGTCCGGAAGAAGTAGAGCAAGAAGAAAAGAAGAAATTAGGCACAATCTGGTATCAATATCATGAACGCGTGAATTAGGATAGTGGTCACTGCCGGTTTGTAGGTGGATTGAAATGCTCATGAAATAACAGGGGTATGGGTCATTGCATAGTTTCAGAAGGTTGCTGATTTTAGATGATCTGTAGATAGTTGCTCGGCACCAATCCGGTTCGGCTTCGAGTGGTCGTGATTTCCGCTTCCCACCAGCCATCATCTTGCAGCCGGATGACGGAAAGCACGTCGCCTTTGCTGAAGCCTAATTCTTCAGGTATAGCGGCCGTGTAACTGTACATTGCTCGAGCTATAGGTATAAGTGTTAGGGGGCGCTTTGCCAAAAGTGCGGTGGACGCGTGAAAGTGAGAACTTACCAAAGTGTAAAATTGGTCTGCCATCCCGACTGAACTGTCTGCCAGGGTCGGCGACAGCCATTGACCTACTTCTCGACCGGCTGCGTACGCTGGCGTTGTCACCATAATATGACATGGGCCTGCCGCTGTCGCGCCGGGACGCATAGCCATCATTGGTGCCGCCGTACATGTCAGATGGACTGGACAATTGTAGTTCCATACCTCCAGCGCTGGAAGGACGAGCCTGTTGTCTGAATTGAGGCTGAGGTGACACAGCTCGTGGGGGTTGTCGAAACTGTGGCTGGGGTGAAACGGCTCGCGAAGCGGCTGCCGTGGGAGATTGACGATACTGAGGCTGGGGAGACACTGCTCGCGGCATGTTTGTGGCCACAGAGCCGCGCCTAGAGCGGGGTGTCGCATCGACAGGGCGTTGAGGAGGTGTGGAGACGGTGGGAGACTGCGCATAACGGTTCTTCATGCTATTTGACTGGTACGAGCTCGGGCTCGGGCTCGCCGCTCGACTATACTGGCCCATGCGCGTATCCACGCGGGGAGGATTGACCTGAGGGCTGGCGCTGCGCCTGGGCGCCGGGGATTTAGCACGGGGAGCCTCCTGTGTTTGACCGCTGTTGCGCCTCGGAGCCTGGCTCGTGCCTCTAAGCATACTCTGGGTCTGTCCAGTATACCTCTGAGTCGTCTTTTGCATCTGGGCTGCAGTGAAAGCGGGCTGCGGTGCATCAAGACGCTTCAATGACGAATCATTATAAGCCGGAGGAGGTGTTGCGACAGAGCCGGGAGTGGCTGTTGGCGCTGCGACTGGCGGCGGAACTGGCGTAGCGATACCGTGATATCTATCGGCTGAGACTCGAGTTGCTGACTGCTTTCCTGCCCCCTTCAAATCTGCTAAGGCTCGGGCAACGGGGTCTTGCTCCTCGTCTGCTTTCTTGCTCGCCTGTGCTGTCTTCTTCGTATCCTTGTCTGGAGACTCGACGTCGAACACGTTGTTGCCCACATTGAGCTGGAAATTAGCTCTCGGATCAACGGGCTCGGGACTTCCAGACACCCTGCCCGAATCTGGGATGGATATAGGTTGCTGAGGCTGAGAAGCTTTGATCGGGCTTGCCTGCTTTGCTGAGGCCTCGTATGTACTGCGAGCGGGAGCCTGAGCTGGGCCGGAATGGCGATCTTTATCGTGCCGGCTCTTGCGACGGAAAGGACTATTGCTGAAGAACGCGCTTCGCTTCTTTTGAACCTGCTTATCCATGCCAGGAAGCGCGACGCCATTGATCGGCTTGGTCGGAGACTGTCTTGCGCTTGAAGGCTCTTGGCTTGACATCGAAGTCGGATTTGATATCTCACTCTGAGAGTCACGACTTGACGGTCTATATGCGCTGTTTGTCCCTGAGCTGCGTTCGGAGGGAGGCCCCGTCCGGCAGAACATCGTCATGCCATCCGTCGGATATGCGTTATGAGGAACAGTACCAATCTCGCCATGCTCATTAGGATCATAATTTGGCGGTAAGTATCCACCACGGCGAAGATCCAATGGAGCTGGCTGTTGCATGGGTGGAGGCTGCATTGGCTGCACTGGCTGCACTGGCAGCGGCTGCGGAATAGGCTGCTGGATTGGCGGCTGGATGGGCTGCTGGATAGGCTGCTGCACGGGCTGCTGCACGGGCTGCTGGATAGGCTGAGGAGGTGGTTGCTGTCTGGCTTGCGGTGCTGGCTTCTGTGGAGTAACAGTAGCTTCCCTGCTTGAAGGTGTCGGAGGCCGATTGATCTTAGCTGCAATCTCAGCATCGGGATCCATATTGGAGTCATAGGCCGAAGGCTGCGGGGAGGAACTGCGGTAGGCTGGGTTGATCGTGCGCTGGAACTGGGCTACTGAGTAGCCTTCTTCCTCTGATGCCTCAGAGCTAGTGTCATCAATTCCCCCTCTGCAGAAGTTGATAAACCTTGGTGGATCAGGTATGTCCTGCCCGGTCCCTCTTTCCTTGATGAAGTTGATTATATCTTTCTCTACCTCACAGTCTTCCAGAGAAAGACGGATTTTCTCACATGACTAGCTATACATTAGTTGCCGAGTACTGTAGCAGAATGAGAACAACCTACAGCATCATCGCTGACGCAAACTGTCGAAGCAATATTTGCGTATGTCCAAAGACTGCTTTTGGTGAAATCGAGCCGTTCTTCCTCTAGATCTTGAAATTTCTGAGATGTTGTTAGTCACGATTTGAAGAAATAAAAACTGGAGCAGCCTGTAGTTCCTTACATCACATGCAGACTTCCACTCCTTGTTCCAGCGTCCAGTTGTCTCTTCTAGTATCTTAATTGCGGCTTCGTACTCGCTGCTGCTGGATGCTAATTGAATCTGCGTCTTCTCGAGCTTGGCTTTGTTTTTGCGCTCTTCCTGACCCATAACCATGTGACCCTGCGCGAGATAGCCTTTGATCCTCAAACAATCCTGTTCGTAGCGATCTCTCGTCTATAAGAGCTTAGCACCCAGTACAACTTGCGCTTCATTTCAAGCATCTTAGCCTACCTTGTTGACGACATGCGTTTGCTGGATCTTGGTTTTGAGAAGGCGCTCAATACCATTCTGGATAATTTTTCTACGCTCTTTGGACCCTCCCGCAAACGCAATCAGTGGCTCCTCAAGCTCTCTTTTCATTTGTGTAGAAATGGCTGCGTGGGCTTTCGCAATAGCCTCGGTTTCACCACGGACCGTGTCAAACGAAGAACGCAGTGAGCCGATTTCAGTCGATCCAAGCGGTTTGCGGCAGAGGGCCAGAAGCTTTCGTGCATATTCGTCTTCGATCGCGGCTCGAACTGCCATTTTTATTAGGTCACGAACGCTGCTGTTGGGGTGAATCAAGTTGCGTGTGACGCACTGTTATAGAACGTCTTCAGTTCGTCGCAAGATGCCTTCGCATTGTGCATCCGATCCATCATAGGCCCGACTCCGGCATCATCTTTCCCCCAAAAATTATTGGCAACTATAGGTATAAATTGGCGTTAGCCGCACCATGTCCGAATGGTTGACAGTGACAAACATCAGGTTTCATACACGACATGGCCACCGTTGGCCCATCTGCAACCGTCCCTGGCATTGTGACAAATTAAAGTCCGGTACGACTGTTGAGCTTCGGCCAGCCTGTGCTCATCTGAGTATCGTACGAAGGAATAAGATCAAGAAATCAATTAATGGCAATATGGGAGACCTTATGGCGAACCGCAGGCAGAATATGGAGGTGACTGTAAATCAAACGACAACGACAAAGCAAGATGCAAGATGACCCTTGGAAACCGAGAAGGGAAGACCAAATTCCAAGGAAAGAATGAGCAAGGCAGCACAATCAGGCTGGTTCTGGTGGAGAAGGCCACAAGCTTGGCCCTGGAATGAAAGATGGTTGACGCCGTCATGTTTACAGTTCCGTGTCTCTCGGGGCAACCGGCGCCGTATCACGGGGCCAAGTCAGGCAGCTCCCCCCAGACCAGCTCATGCTCTTCGCTGTTCCCCAAGGACTCGGGACATTCCTCGTGGGTTTCAGAGTATCACACTGAACGTGGATCATATTGTTTGTCCCTGTGATAATGCAGGCCTGCACTATGGTTCGTCATCTGTGATTTTATATCAAAGTGTTTCATCATGATCTTGACTTGTGGGGGCCTCTTTGGTCCCGCTGATGGGAAGAATGTGCCAATCTCATCAAGATGGCCCTGAATCTTCATGTCCCTTTGCAGATTGCCATTCAGTTCATTCTTCTCTGGCCTTTTGTCCATATCCTTGATACATATAGTCTTAAGTCGTTCGACTGATGCATGCAGAGGATAGTGCTGAACCCACGTATCAATACCACCAAGGGGGCAAGCATAGGGATGTATGTAAGCCCAATACTATCAGAATCAATCCAGGTATAGGTAGAGCATCATTTCTTTCTCGATCCGTCCCTCCCCTTGAGTTGCACATTTTGCTGCATGCATCGATCCCATCGCATTGCTCAGCTTGAGCAGCGCTGACTCATTTGCCTCCAGAGCATCCGCATTGGTCCATAGTGTCCCGAGACCCGGGGGCTCACGTGCCCGACGGAGTTACTTCCCCCTTCCCCCTCACATCACCCGTCACGCGTGCCTCAGGTACCTACTCCGCCGCGTAGAGTAAACTGTACTTCCCTGCATGAAGCAAAACACAAAGTCCTCTCGGGTCCTCCTCACTGCGAGAGGTACTTACTAGGGGTGTGGCTGCCTCAACCATACTACTAGTACTCATAGCAAGCCTCCGTAACTCGCCCAGGCCATTCCACACCTACGGTCCGGTCCTCGGAATTCCTCCCTCATCTACCACTCTCCTCTACTCGAACAGCAGAGCCGCCCAGGTTTGCCGCCTAAGGCAGACTAGTGTCGACTCCTCAGGCAGCTCCACCTGCCCCGTCCACTCGACCTCGCTTTCTGCTGCCCGTCATTCACACCCATCCCGAACTTCCCATCCACTTGTGCCACGAAGCAACGTCCTTCTCATTGTCATCGGTCTTCGCTTTGCCGCTGCCAGAATCCGTCGATTTGTTGCACATCTACGATTTTTCTCTCACTTGAGTTAATTCCCATTGTCTATTTGTGATCACGAATAATAAAAATTTGTCGCTCGCCTTCAGATCAAATGATCGCGTCTCCTAGATGACCTTCCCTCCCCCTCCTCCTTCCTCCCAATCGTCGATTGCTTCTGGCACCGATAAGTCATCTTCGACAAGACCGGCAAGGTCACAACAGCCATCTGCTTGGGGTCCTACCGTGTCCCAGTCTAGTGTTCGGCGTGGGTTGACTCCGCTTGCGACCAACAACCTCGCATCATCCTCGATTCTTCCCTCAGCCTCTCGCGGGCCACCACAGTCCAGTAGCCCTGGTCCCGGTGGTTCAACCTCGTCCCCTCTCACTACCTCTTTTTCCGCCGTCTTGAGTTCCGCTAGGGGTCTTCCCGTTGGCCGTAACGCGCCCTCGCCAGCCTCCACGCCGGCACCTTTCACCTCCTTCCAATCTGGCTCACAACAGCACCAGCAATCCGGACAAACTCTCTCCTCGCCCAAATTCAGAGCTCATACCCCCTCTTCAGGGTCACATCTGGCTTCCGCAGCGGGTTCTGTTGCGGGTGGAGGAGGCTCCGGGGGAGGCGGAGGTGGGACGGGATCTTCCAGAGGCGCCACCTTCTCTCCGTTGTTGGCTGGTACAACCGTGAACTCGCCTACAGGATTCCCATCCGACAAACCGGGATCAGCAGCTTCGGGCGCTGCAGCTCACGCAAGCCAGTCGTCGCTTACTAAGATATCTATTGCCCAAGTTTTCCTCCTCCTGGATTCTATCACAGAGAAAGAGGGTAGAGAGAAGTGGGAAACAAAAGCCGCACAGATCCATAAGGTAACACCCTAATTCATTTAGCGCTTTTGATCATTCATAGAGTACCATGGTACTGACTGGTTTATTTAGCTCGTAGAGTCTAACGGCATGGAGGTCTTTTCGAAATACTTTCGACGCTTGCTCACAGGCAATGCCCCGCAGATATTTCCCGGGGTAAACAAGTCGGTGGAAAATGCCGGCAATTACCCACTTTTGGTGCAGGAGATGGAGAAGGTCCCTCAGGACATAGAGCAAGCGCAGAAGATCGCAGAGACAGTGGATACCTCGGAAGGCGATATCTTTCGTGACTTTGACCTTTCGACGTTTCTGGATCATTTCAAGCTTGATCCACTTGTGAAAGTATCCTTAGCCCTGGCATTTAAAACCGCAAACAAGTCAGATCTACGCGCGAAAGGTAAGTAGCTATCGGACCGTATGCGGATTTACAAGGCTAATCGGTCGGTCTATGCAGCTGATGCGATCCTCTCCAACTCCGTGAATCCTTTCTTACAAATCCTCGCGAACCCTGCCAAGGAATACAAGAATTCCTTCATTGCAATGACCATCGAGCGCTTTATATTGTATCCGCCCAGGAATTTCACCGACGACGTGAAAGGGAAACTGGTATATGCTGCCAACCTACGATATCGGAATGTGCAGAAAGACGTGCCCTTTGAAGTCGCATCCTCCCTACAAATGTTCAACTTCCTCAGTCCAAAATTCACGCTCGTCCGCCAGCTCCATTCGAAGGGACCGCGGGCAACCTCGAGCCCAGAGGCTGTAACTGAAACGATCAATGCAGCGGGCTCTGATTGCTGGAACGAAGACCACGTAGCTAGCGCTCTTCTTTTCCTGGTGCTCTCACAGTATTGGCGCGAATTCTCGTTGGAGACATTTTTGAGCGCGGTCCGATCACACTATGGCGAAAAGCAGATCAATTGGCCGCTTGTATTCCGCAACTTCGACCGAGAAGGCCTTAGGCTTGAGACTCAGCAGTTCACGAAGCTATTCGCTGTCCTGCTAACCGTGGCTGCGGAGGATTCATCCCTGGACGTGCAGAAACTGTGGGGTGGAGACTGGGAACACCGTGATACTCAGATGTCGTTCCTGACGGCGTTTGTATCCTCCCGGGTAGATGTCTCTCAGATTCCGAACCTGCGCGCCACTTTTCCCGAAGACTTCTTCGCTGATGGCTCCGAGCTTGTTCGCTTGCAGGGAGAACGCGCAGCAAAGTCGCCGCTTCGGTCTCTGGACGCCATGAGAGCCATCTTTGACCTGGCGTTGTTCTCTAATGCTGCATGGTCTGCTACTGAGAGTCAGCTGCTGATCAAAGCCGTTGTCCAATTTGACTTGCCGGTCTTTCTATGCTCAGCGCTCTCTCTCCCCCAGCCCTGGACTAGTGTTCAGCAAAATTTCGTCCTTCGCACCTTGATTGTCTTCGTTCTGAAGCAAGAGGAAGGCTATCACCTCGCACTCCACGGTGCATGGCAGCAGGATCGTCAGTGGGTTGCCGAGCAGCTCTTCACCACTTTCACTCAGGATCCGACCTCCACTGCAGCCATCTATGAACAGGCTGTGGAATTCAACTGGCTGGAGTATCTCCTCGGCTACACGAATGGTCTCGCCATGGACCTTGCTTGTTATGCTCATCGCAAGGGTCCATTCGATTTGGAACAATGGGTTCGCAATGCTGCTCAAAAAGGTCCTATGGATATGGGTAGCCTTCTGTCCAAATTCCTGCGGATCAAGGCGGAGGATGAACTCCATGTGCAGAGAAAGGAACAGGTTGCTCCGCAAATGGTTAGCCTTTCAGTAAAGACTGTCTACACTTTACTATCGGTTCTCGAGGAATACGTTGGTGATCGTGAGAATCTCACCCCCGTGCAACGGATTTGCATTCAAACTTATCCCAGACTCATCAACTATGGAGAGGGATTCGATGACATCATCGACGCCAACGGCGAACACGGGAATTCCTTACCCGAGGCTGTTGACAAACAAATGCAGGAGCTTTTCGGCAAGATGTATCATGAGGAACTGTCTTTAAGAGAAATTCTTGAATTAATGAGGCGGTACAAGTCGTCCCGGGAGCCAGCCGAGCAAGATCTTTTTGCCTGCATGGTTCATGGACTGATTGACGAATACCACTGCTATCATGAATATCCCTTGGAGGCATTGACCAAAACGGCGGTTATGTTTGGTGGTATCATCAATTTCCGACTGGTTGACGGTATCACGCTGAAGGTCGGACTGGGCATGATTTTGGAGGCGGTGCGTGAGCATGAGGTTCATGATCCCATGTATAAATTCGGTGTTGAGGCGATTGAGCAATTGATTAACCGTCTCCCCGAATGGGCTGGCTTCTGCCACCTTCTTCTGCAGATACCCAGTTTGCAAGGCACCACGATCTTCCAAAAGGCTGAGGAAGTTCTGCGCGAACAAGGAAGCCAAGTTCGAGATGACGGTGGGAGAGTCGAGTCTGTTGCTGGACCTTCAATGAATGGCAACCTCGAGGAAATTGTAACATCTGACGGAGCTGCCCGCAAGTTCGTTTCCGTGCATGTGGATTCCCCTCTCCGACCAGAAGTCTACTCGGATCCAGACGAGGACATACAGGACAAGATCCTCTTTGTTTTGAACAATGTTTCCGAGCAGAACATAGATGAAAAGCTTCGTGACCTTACTGATGTTCTTCGTGACCAGCATCACCAGTGGTTCGCTGCTTATCTCGTGGAGGAACGGGCCAAGCTGCAGCCTAATTTCCAGCAACTATACCTGGATCTTCTTGATCGCATCGACGACAGGCTGCTGTGGGCTGAGGTTCTGCGAGAGACTTACGTCAGCGTATCCAGACTCTTGAACGCTGAGGCCACAATGAATTCATCCACTGACCGAGGGCACCTTAAGAACTTGGGTGCATGGCTGGGTTCTCTGACAATAGCGAAAGACAAGCCTATCAAGCATAAGAATGTTTATTTCAAGGGGCTTCTCCTAGAAGGGTTCGACAGCCAGCGTTTGACGATTGCGATTCCGTTCACTTGCAAAGTGCTTGTTCAAGCCACCAAGTCTACGGTCTTCAAACCCCCCAATCCTTGGCTAATGGACATCCTTGCTCTGTTGATGGAGCTGTACCATTTCGCTGAGCTGAAATTGAATTTGAAGTTCGAGATTGAAGTCCTATGCAAGGACCTTGATCTTGATCACAAGAACATCGAGCCGTCCGTCATCATCCGCGATCGTTCCGCTCATATCGAGGACGCGTTGTCTACAGCTAACATTCCTGATGGACTGGAAGCGTTCGAGGACATGGCTCTCAGTACCCTCAATCAAGGCATTCGCCACGAGAGACTTTCTCCTGCTGCCATCATGTCGACACTCCCGAGCTTGGACAAGATTCTTGTCCTTCCATCGACAGCTAGCAGCATGATCGATGCGAATGTTCTTCGTCAAATTGTCCATAGCGCTGTTGAACGTGCTATTGCAGAAATCATCACACCTGTGGTAGAACGCTCTGTCACCATCGCCTCAATTTCCACCGTTCAACTAGTGTCCAAGGACTTCGCCATGGAGCCCGACGAGGAAAGAGTGCGACATGCAGCAGGAATCATGGTCAGGCAACTTGCCGGTAGCTTGGCTCTGGTAACCTGCAAGGAGCCTCTCAAGGTCAGCATGACAAACTACATTCGGATGATCCAGCAAGAATACTCCGAGCAGCCAATGCCCGAGGGTCTCATTCTTATGTGTGTCAATGATAACCTCGACGCCGCGTGCGGCATTGTCGAAAAGGCTGCCGAGGAAAAATCTCTGCCGGAGATTGAAAAGGTCATTGAACCTCAATTGGAAGCTCGCCGCCGTCACAGGGCTGCCCGCCCCAATGAGCCATTTATTGACCCTTCTATGAACCGCTGGGGCCTCTTTATCCCTGAACCTTACCGGCAAGGCGCTGGTGGCCTCAACAAAGAGCAGCTGGCCATCTACGAGGAATTTGCCCGACAAGCACGCGGACCCGCTGCTGCTCATGTGCAAAATGTCTCTACCGACTCTGGTCGGCAGCTTCCGGATGTCCTTCAAGAACCATACTCTCCTATCCCCAACTTATCTACCCCTGCTGAACAACCTGCTGTACCGCACAGGACTCCTCAGGCACAACAAGACGCTCGCTTACAGCAGTCTGGTCTTGTTGGCGCGCAATCTCAGCTTAACGGCTTCCTCGAGGCTCAAAGCCCTCGTGAGAAGGTTGAGGCCATCGTGTCTGAAATCCAGCAGGCTGCTCGAAATGCTCCGGAGGAGCACGTCAAAGATCTTGGCAGAGATAGCACTGTTTTGCAGGAATACAACCAAGCACTCCGTACTATCCTCGCTTCGCCCAACGGAGAAGAGCTGGCCAGACTGACATGTCTGCGAATTTGCACCAGCCTGTATGCGCAGACTCCAAGCACATTGGAGATTGAGGTTCTTGTCCATTTACTTGCGAAGCTGTGCGACATGTCGACTTTGGTTGCACGTTACACCTGGGCAGTCCTCTCCGAGGTCGATGATGAGCATATGTTCCACGTTCCGGTCACCGTTGCTCTCATCGATGCGGGTCTTCTGGACATCCGCCGTGTCGATATGATCCTGACGCGGCTTATCCTCGAGAAGAGAATCCCTGCTCTGGAGGTTCTCTCCAACCTGATGGACCGCGTTCTTTTCAGCGAAGAACCTTCCGCCTTGAGATCTGACTTCTCCGGCAGTTTGGAAGCCATGAGCCAGTGGCTTGCAGAAGACTCCAACCTTTCAGTAGCAAATGAGATCATTCGCAAGCTGCGCGAGTCCGGCATTCCTGAAGTTGTCAATCCTCTTCTCAGTGACAAAGCGAGATCCAAACGAGATCAGATGGAGTACATCTTCAGTGAATGGATTGGCATCTACAAGGCTCCTGGCGCAATCGACCGCACCTATTATTCGTTCCTGAAGGACTTGCATCAAAGACAAGTTATGGATAATCAAGAAGATTCTGCTTTGTTCTTCCGTCTGAGCATTGACATCTCGGTAGCAATGTTTGACCATGAGTCACAAAACCCCAGTGGTAGTCTCGATGAAGCATTCCTCTACATTGACGCTCTAGGCAAGCTTGTTGTCTTGCTCGTCAAGTTCCAAGGAGAGTCTGCAGGTGCCGCAAAGACGAGCAAGTCTGCTTACTTCAACTCGATCCTATCGCTTCTCGTGCTTGTGTTGAACCATCACTATGTTATGCGAGGTGAGGCATTCAACCAGCGCGTTTTCTTCAGGCTGTTCTCCAGCATCCTCTGCGAATACTCCATGAACGGACTCCAGCATAGCGATCAGCACCAGGATATGATGTTTGCTCTGGCCAACAAGTTCCTCTCCCTCCAGCCTAAATACTGCCCCGCTTTCGTCTATGGATGGCTTTCTCTCGTCTCTCACAGATTCTTTATGTCTGGTATGCTGAACATGCCGGAACGGGCAGGCTGGGGACCCTACTGTGAGATTATGCAGGCTCTCCTTTCTTACATTGGCGAGCAGCTCAAGCCGGCAACCATTTCCTATGTGGCCAAGGATTTGTATAAGGGTGTCCTTCGAATCCTGCTCATCTTGCACCATGACTTCCCCGAGTTTGTGGCGGAGAATCATTTCCAATTCTGCAACGTCATTCCTACTCATTGTGCTCAACTTCGCAATCTTGTTCTCAGCGCCTATCCCTCCTCGTTCCATAAACTTCCGGATCCGTTCAGAGAAGGTCTCAAGGTGGAACGTTTGGAGGAAATGCGGGAGGCTCCAAGAATTGCAGGCGATATCGCTGCCCCGCTGCACCATGCGAATATCAAGAGTGTCGTTGATAGCGCTCTCCAGAACACCACTGTATCCGAAGCATCTATTCAACAAATTAGCGATGCAGTTTACAATCCCCCGACTAAAGAATCCGGTCTCTTCTATGACCCAATCAACGTCAACGTGGTGCTGCTGAACGCGCTCGTCCTCTACATTGGGCAGAACGCTGTATCTGTGAACAACTCCCAGGGCAACACTCGGGCGGCATTCGAGAACTCCGCTCATGCGTCTCTCTTGGAGAGCCTTGCGAAGGCTTTGCGTCCGGAAGCACGGTACTACCTGCTGAGTGCGATGGCCAATCAGTTGAGGTACCCCAACAGCCACACTTACTTCTTCAGCTTCGCTATCCTCCGTCTCTTTGGTGCCGATAATTCCGAGCAGGATGAATCCGACATTCGCCAACAGATCATCCGTGTTCTTCTTGAGCGACTTATTGTCCATCGTCCTCATCCTTGGGGACTGATCATCACTCTCCAGGAGCTGCTTCAGAACCGAAGCTACACCTTTTTCCGCCTTCCTTTCATCCAGGCTGCGCCTGAGGTAAGTTCATTCATCTGCTTTCAAGTATGTGGCATTGTCGCTAATCATGCTTCCCAGATCGGTCGTCTCTTTGATGCTCTGTTGCAGCACATTCAACAGCAGAGCCCGCGGGCGATGGCCTAAACATTCACGGAGATATTCTCTCGATTACTTTCTCATATTATATTAACATGACGTATTCTCTCATGCCTCGATGTCTTGCATTTGCCGAAACGACTTTCTGTCATGGTGTTTTGTCTATGCCGCTCACGACATGTAGCGCCAAAATACGGATCTTTCCTGGGGTGTATGATTTGAAAGGGTTTCTTTATCTGGTGGCTTGCTTGTTCTAATTTATTTGCTTTTTCGGTTGGGTTCTGGGAGAGGTTGCATTTCTAGGACTTGTAAACATGCTTTCAACGCTATATGGTACTTACATTAGTTTCCCTTTTCTGCCTCTATCCTTCTCTTCTCTGTGTTGTCTACCTTATTTTGGTGATGCTCTTTTCTATAACTACTTTTCACGGTGGTCTGTAACAATACGCGGAGTTATAAACTATGATCCTCTGAGTTATTATGTGCATGCTTGTTTGTAGCCGTTGATTTTAATGCCTTGTGCAGCTCGTAGTCGCTGCATTAGCTTTCAAAGCTGTTGGTTGCTTGTATGTTTACGTTTACTACGGTAGCTTGTCCCACCATAAACAAGGCGGAAGCATCCACCGCCCTGGTTGTCACCCGATTACGTCGCCGCCCTCTCCCCATGCTTTCCCCTCATCAATGCACCCCTTCCTCGGCTCAAACCTTTCGGATTCAAAGCTATGGATGCTAAGCATGTAGTAGACGAGGAGCCAGAGCATGGCACAGGCGCTGTCTCGCGGGTCATGGTGATAATGTCCCATCAACAACTACTGACGCAGGCGCATCAGCTAACGCGATGATTGTCTAGAGTTCGATGGCAGAGACAATGCGTCCCCTTTTGTCTAAGCAAGCGCAGAAAGCCTACTTGGGCACTCTGCTCTTTGCTCTGACAGCTATATGCATGGTTTTCATCTCCGCAATAGCGTATGCGATCTTCTATCACAACTTCATCCCGCAGGTCGGGCTAGAGCGCATTGTTCACATGCAGTTCGAGTGCGTCAAAGACCCAAGGTTCAAGTTGATCTTCGGCTGCCTTAGTGAGGCTACCGCTGGAAGGGTTATTCATGGCTGACTGTCTTCTTTCTTGCGCATAGTGATGGCCATCCCTGGGGAGTCGCGTCCTTGGGTTCGGATTTGGTATCTCTGCAGATGTATGATGTGCAGGTAGAACTTGAGCTACCGCGGACCCCCTCGAATGTTGCTGCTGGCAATTTCATGCTGGATCTGGCGCTCTATTCTCCGCCGTCAGCATCTGCAGAGACTGGGTTGAATACGTCGACTCCCCTGCTCTCCCAATCGCGCCGCTCTGCTATTCTCACTTACGCCTCCCCTCTGGTCGACACAGCGAACAAGCTGGTCTTGATGCCATTCTATGTGCTTGGATGGAATCGAGAAGCAGAGAAGTTGCGGGTCGCCATGCTTGAGAAGGTCCAATTCCCCCGTGGACAACGTAACGTTCCGTCCAGCTTGCGCCTTGAAATTCATAGTGCGGAAAAGATGCAAGTTTACAGAGCTAGGGTGATGTTCAAGGCGACATTCACTGGACTACGGTATGCTTCGTCCACTTATTTGCAGCAGCCAGGTCTATTTTTTTCCAAGACTAACCAGAGGTATAGGTGGATCATGTACAATTGGAAGCTCACGTCCTTTGTCATCTTTGGCTTCATGTTCTGGAGCGTTTCCATGGTGACTGCAGGAATGATGTGGGCTTTACTGGCCATCGTCTTCCACCACCCGAAGGAAGAAGGAAAAGATGTCGTCGTCAAAACAGAAAGCGGCAGCGAAGCAGTTGTCAAGTCTGAAGATACTGACGAACCATCGTCTCTATTTGATGTTCCTTCCGAGACTTCTCACATCAGGGGTACGTCGATCAAGAAAGAGGAAGATCTGGACGATGAGGGAAGCGATGCAATTGAAGATACGGACGAGGATCGTGGCGCAGAGTCCTCGGATGTTTCAGGGATTGGAACTGGACTCGAAAGTGCCCATGCACAAGGGATTCAGCGACGACGGAGTCACCTCATCAGGGCACACTCCTAGCGATGATCATATTCGCTCGTGTAATAATTAGTCGATACGCAGACATGTGGCTTAGATCAATATGGATGCGATGTACTGCAAAGCTGGATTGAATTGGTTCATGATGACCATGATCCATATGATTGTTAATTAGTTATCGATAACGAGACAAATCGGAGCGGCAGGTGGAGCCTGGTTTCGCAAGGAACGACGAAAAGGCGGGGAAATCTGCCGTGATCTCCTCTGCCTCTCTGCCCCTCTTCTTCACCTTTTTCCTACTCAACTCCCTTCGCTCCACCTTTGCTCTTGTTGCAATGCATATTCTAGTAAGCACATCAGTTATCCTGTCTATAGCACCTCATCGGACTTTGTCCATCTTACCCTAGGCTCACGGGGTTTTCTGCAATAGGTTGTCAACGACGACGGACCGCCGTCGAACCAGTCTTCACCGTATATCCATTCGCTCGTCGTCTCGCTACAATCGGCCGGACACACTGTATCGGTGGTATTACCGCACCAGCAGCGATCATGGATTGGTAAGGCACACCTGGTCGGGGCTGCGGTGAAGCCCACCTACTTCCGGCCTGGGACTTTGCACAAGGACGACGGAACAACTCACGAGTTGCCCCACGGGATGAACGAAGGCGACGACCAAGAATACGATGGCGATGAGTGGATCCTGGTCGACTCGACGCCGGCGAGCTGTGTGCAGATCGGCCTATACCACTACTTCGAGGACCGCGGTCCGATCGACCTGGTCGTTTCTGGGCCGAACTATGGCCGGAACTCGACCGCGCTCTTTGCCATGTCCAGCGGAACGATTGGTGGCGCCATGGAGGCCGCCGTCTGTGGGAAACGGGCTATCGCTCTGTCCTACGCCTTCAGCTCGCGCCAGCATGACCCCATCGTTATCGCCGAGGCTTCGCGGCATTCGGTCCGGTTGATCGAGTACCTTCATAAGAACTGGGCGGAGGGAGTAGATCTGTACAGTGTCAATGTACCTCTGGAGCCTGGTGTGAGCGAGGCCAAGGTTCTCTACACCCAGATGCTCGATAACCGCTGGTCGTCTGGCAGCTGCTTCAAGGCTGTTGAGGCTTCCGCATCGACGGACGGCCCGAGTGCGCATGAGCACAAGCTGCGGGAAGAAGGCGAGGGTGCCGGGACAGCTCTGCCCGCAGAAGGGAGCAAGCCTTCCATCAAGCGATCTCGCATCCAACATAAGCACTTCGAGTGGGCGCCCAATTTCACGGATGTCTACAGAAGCGTGGATGAGGGCGCTCCCGGAAATGACGGGTGGGTTGTGAAGGAGGGAATGACTAGGTTTGTGGCGTTTAGCCCCGTGCTCTTGTCAACTGTTGCTAACCCCCAACCGCAGTGTGACGCCGTTGAAGGCCAATTTCATGCACACGCCCGGCATCGAGGGGGAGATCAAGCTGTGAGTGATGTTTATTGCGCGGCAGACGAACGGCCGAATCTAGACGACCCGAACTGCATACCTGCACATATCATAGAGAAGAGCTTGCGCGCTTGTCAGATATTCGAGAGCTATTTTATGCCTTCCGCGCCTTTCTGTCGCTTTTTGCTTCCCTTCAATTCTATTTCGCAGTGCTTTTTTCATACCGCAGGACGGCCGGGATTCTGATAGATCATGTTCATGTAGACCGGATAATAATGAGCCTACATTATATACCCTCGTGGACAGCGACAACCCATACGTCCAGAGTCTCATGGAGCAGGCCTTGCAGCGTCGCCTCGGCGCCGGCCACAGTCGCACCATCTCCTCCCTGGCCGACCTCCCGTCTCCCTCCGCCCCCGTGTTCCAGTACCGCGAGTACGAACGCCTGGACTTCGAGCATGCCATGATGCATTCCTCGTCGTCCCTCGCGAACGCCTACATCATCCGCAAGGCGCTGATCCGCAAGCACTACCTCTCCAACACCGTCACGAACTGGGTGACCAAGCACCCGGACAGCGTGTTGGCCAAACACTTCAAGTTCGCCTGCGACTTCGAGCTCGACTACGCAGAATTCCTAGACGACGCCCTCCTGGAGGCCTACGAGCTCCGCGAGAGCCTCGAGCGCAACGAGACTCTGCCCGAGGCCGAGAAGGAATGGTGGATCCTCAAAGCCGGGATGAGCGACCGCGGCAACGGCATCCGGCTGTTCAACAGCGAAGACGGGCTCCGGGAGATCTTCGAAGAATGGGATCCTGATTCGGACGACGAGGAGGAGGAGGACGACGAAGACAACGAGGACTCGGAGCGTCCCGCCAAGCCCGAGGAGGATGACAACGACGACGACCACGGCGTGGTCACCTCGCAACTGCGCCACTTCATCGCGCAGCCGTACATCGACCCGCCGCTGCTGCTCCCCTCCGCCGCGAACCGCAAGTTCCACATCCGCACCTACGTCCTGGCCGTCGGCTCGCTGAAGGTCTACGTCTTCCGGGAGATGCTGGCCCTGTTCGCCGCGAAGCCCTACTGCGCCCCCGCCGACGAGGCCAGCGCCGACGAGGTCACGGACCTGGCCCGCCACCTGACCAACACCTGCTTCCAGGACGGCGGCAGCGCCAATGAGGGCAGCGTCCGCCGCTACTGGCAGCTGGACGCGGCCGTCCCGGGCCTCGCCCCGGACTGGAAGGAGCACCTCTTCGATCAGATCTGCGCCGTCACCGGCGAGGTCTTCGAGGCCGCCGCCCGCGGCATGATGGTGCACTTCCAGACCCTCCCCAACGCCTTCGAGCTGTTCGGCGTCGACTTCCTCGTCGATCACACCGGCAACGCCTGGCTGCTGGAGCTCAACGCCTACCCGGATTTCGCCCAGACCGGCGAGGACCTGAAGGATCTGGTCGTGGGCCGGCTGTTCGAGGAGACCGTTGATGTCGCCGTCAAGCCGTTCTTTGGGCGCGGGGAGAAGACGGCCGTCCAGGGGACGGAGTCGATGAGGCTGGTTGCTGATTTGGAGTTGGGGCGGAAGGATTAGCATTGAGGCAGTGTAGGTATCAAGGGGGGTGTGTGTATTTTGCTAGAGGCGTTTGGATGTATGGACGAGTTCGATTTAGACCAAAAGTTTGGGGGGATCCTTAGAAATGGAAGGAGTTTTGCTTATCTGGGCCAGTACATATATACTCTCGATAAGACAATCAGATGTATTAGGATAGTGTTCTGGATCGATTTTGATAGTCATATGTCCAGCTACGAATCTGTATGTAAGTCTCCGAACCGAGCAGTGAGCGTCACTACCATCCACAATGCCTTCGATTCCCATCACGCCACATAAGATAGGAGGAGGGAAAGCTGCAGGAAATCATCCAAACCGCTGCTTGGCCAACGTCTTCAGCCACCCGATCGTCTCCTCCTCCTTCGCGCGGTACTTCTGCAGCCGCTCCTCGCGCTCGGCCGCGCGCGCGCGCATGATCTCCTCGCGCCGGAGCTCCCGCTCGTTCTTCTTGCGCTGCTCCCGCTCCCGCGACTTCTTCATCGCCTCCAGCTCGTTCTCCCCGGACCCCAGCAGGTCCTCGTCCGGCACCGCCGCCGCCCCCGGCGACCCGCCGCGCCGCGCCTCCGCGAACGCCCGGTTCGCCTGCGCCGCCTCCTGCCGCTTCTCCATCCGCCGCTCGTGCGTCCCCGGCTCCGCCCGCGGCGCCACCTCCTCCTGCATGTGCCGTACTTCTGCGCGGTGGGCGCGCACCTCGCTTCGGTACTGGGATTGGGAGTCCTGGCGCGCCGCGAGGGCGTCTTCGCGCGCTTGTTCTGTTTTTTTTTTTAGGGTATGTGTTAGTCGCTCGCTTGTGTTTCTTGTCATGTCACAGTCACAAGGACTGTGAATTCGCAGAGCGGGAAAGGGGGATGCTGTGGCTCTGGGATATGCGGCGTTACCTTTTCTCAGTTCTAGGTCCTGGATCGTGGGGATCGTGGGCCCGGATAGGGATTTGTCGGGCTGGGGGAGCGTGGGGCCATAGTCGTCTTCTTCATTGTCATTGTTCTCGTTGTTGTCGTCGTCGTCGGTGTTGTGGCGGTCTCGTTCGGAATGACGCTCAATCTGTTGGTTGTGGGCGGTAACGGAGGAGGATTGCGGTCCGGCGGCAGGGGGATGAGAAGGAGGAGGGGGAGCGTCGTCGAGGTTTGACCGCGCCCGCTCCAGCATCGCGGGATCATACCATCCTTCTGCTAGTTCGCCGTGGTTCCTGGTATGTTAGTCTTAGGGGTTTATTGCTCCCATGTGTTTTCTGGGCAAGGTGTGTTTTGCGCAAAAGTATAAAACAGATGGAAGGGGCGGGACGAGAGGGAGCGCTAGGTACCATTTGCGGATGAAACTCTTCCAGCGGCCCTTGACTTCGTCCTCCGGGAGGTCCTCGAGGTAGAGCCCTTTCTGGATGTCGAGGTACATGGCGAAGAGCGGGGTGAAGGTGGTTAGGTCGTGTTTGGTGAGTTCGCGCGAGCCATAGGGGAGGACTCGGGGCTGGGGCGCGGCTTGCGCTGTGTCCGCGGTGCGGTGGGAGGAGGAGTGATGGCGGTGACGGTGGCGGCGGTGACGGTCTCGGTCTGCGTCTTGAGTGTGTCGGTCGCGGTGGGTGTCTGTATGGCGACGGTAGTCGCGGTCGTGGCGGTCATCGTGATGATGGCGATGATGGTGATGACGTCTGCTTCGGTGACGGTCTGTTCGGTCTGTTGTGTCCGGGGAGCGAGTGCGCGATCGGGTGCGGGAGCGAGGTCGAGAGACTGGATCAGCGCGACCGCGATGGTGATCTCGAGAAGACATTGTGTTGTGTCGTTTATGTTGTCTGTGAAGGGCGGGCGAGAGAAGCTGATCCAGATGGAAGTTAAGAGAGTTGGATGGCGGAGTTGACGATGCCAAGCTTTGGCGGCCGAGGCGGCGGCGTTGGTGGAGAGTGCGGAGGTACGGAGTACAGTACTGTGCATGCTCATTCATACAATACAGGATTTACAGTGAGGAGATAATTAAGGGGACTGTAGCGATCGATCAATTGCTTGCTCTGCGCTAATCAATTTTGGCATTTCCTCTTATGTAGCGTCTACTATACAAGTGCGAACCTTTTACTGCCAAACGTACAACCGCTGCATCATATTCATCTTCATGGCATCAATAGTAACCCTACCCAGGGAACTTGGAATAGGTGAGATGACAGAAAGCGTCGCATGAGTATGTGTAGGGTATTGTCTAGCTAGCTGGGGCGCTTTGCTGCTCACTGGCCGTGGTAGTGGCGGCGGAGTTGTCGGCGGCATTCGATGGCGCCGGGGAGGCAGTCTTGGATCGGTTGGCAGCCGCCATCTGCCAAGCAGGGATAGAGGCAGACCGACCGAACTGCGAAAGAGGGTTGTTGCCCAAGGATGCAGTACTGGCGCTCGGACTCGGCTGAGCCGATTGCGATGGCTGTTCCGTCAATCCCGCAGTCGATCCGTTTGTTGCGTTAGAGGCAGAGGCCGATTCATCTGCTGGCCGTGAAGCAGTCGGAAGAGGGATGCCGCCCACAGCCCGTCCAGCGATGGACGAGTTGGCACCGCTACCACCGCCACCAAGTCGATTTCCCAGAAGAACTTTCAAGCTCTTCAATTCAGTGCTCAGCTCCTTCAAACGATTCTCGTTGCCTTCGCGAGCACTCTCCATTGCCTTAGGAATGGCGTCTTTCAACGACTTGACTTCGTCGCTAATGCGGCGGGTCTCGTCGTCTCTCCGACGGGATGCGTTCTTCATATCGGAAACGAGAGTCTCTACCTCTCTGAGGGCAGCGTCGAGTCGCTCCGATCGCTCTTCTTCTGCAGACTTCAGAGCGGCTGTATCGGTGGAGAGTTGATCGATAAGCGTAAATGCACGGGAGAACTGCTCATCAATATCCTGCTTGTCCTGTTCCAACTGTGGTGGTGTGGGGGGTGCGATCAAGGGTGTGATATATCGCTTGATAGATGTCAGCTCCTTCCGCAGCACGGCTGTGGGTCAAATGAGGAAGAACTGACCTTCGTGATAGTGTACAGCCCGTAACCGACACCACCCACAACAGTAGCCATAATAAACCAATCCCGCCAGTCCCGCTTTGGAGGTCTGCCATGACGGCGAAATTAGCATTCCCAAAAATATCTTGGCGGACAGCCACTTACTCTGGCGGAGGCTGCCATTGACCATACGGTGGATAGCCATATCCCGGAGCAGGTGGCTGAGGTGGAGGGGGTCGGTAAACTGCTTGTTGGGAAGAAGGCTGATAGCTCGAAGATGATATTGCCGCGGCCGCCGCGGCCGGATCTTCACCTACTCGCGAAAGAGCGACATCGATCTCTTCTTTCGTTAGGTTCTTTGACTGCAGGAATGCGACTCGCTTTTCGATCGGCGAAGAGGCGACAGACGGGTCTTGGAGGACTATCCTCAAATTAGAGACCGCGACAGAATGGATCGCAATGGCAGCGCGCCGATGATTACCTACAGGTGATCTATGATGTCGAGGATAAGAGTTAGCTCCGATTGCGGCAACAGCACATGACAGATGAGGCATTGAGGCAATAAACCTACCGCAGATGAGATAAGCTCCTCGCGAACCATGATGACGGGTCCACCAAGGACTCTGTTTCGGCTGTGACGAAACGAGAGTCTATCCAGCGACAAGGTACGCAGTGAGTAAGAATTGGAAGGAACAAGGGGACGGAAAGTGAAGTGGAAGATTAGTAGGAGGTGGAGGAGGAGAAGGGGAGGGAATTGGACCTCGGAAGTTGGGGAGGGGAGGCTAGGACGGGACTGGGTTACTTACTGTAATAAGCACTGGGCAACTAATCACAGCCGGTACCGCGGCGGATTCGGCGTATCCCCAGAGGGGCCCGTGATCGTGGAGGATCATGGTTGATAAGAGTGGCTCAGTCCGGATCCGGTTAGTGCACCTCTTCAGCTCTGCTGTTGTTCCCAGCCAGCTCACCGCCTGCTATTTTCAAGCAAAGTGGCATGTCTTGTTTACATCCATGATCTGCCCGCTCGGTTGCTGCTGCCCCGTCCAAAATCTCCCTCCATTTCTACGGTTTAAGTTGGTGTTTCAGCTTCGTGCTGCACAATCCCTTCAGCTCCTGGCCCTCACTTCTATTGGAATACCTCAGTTGGTACTTTGGGCCGATTTTGTGATTGCCCCAAATTCGACAGCTGCCGTCGCGGCTGCCTCCTCATCATGTCGCAAGATACCGGACTGTTCAGCATCAGGCGCCCTCGCGAGGTATGCGCCCCAACTTATCGCACCCCCTACATGGATGCAAGAAAATCCCAGACTCGAAGTAATGCTGACTGCTACATCTAGTCGATGGCGCTTGGAAGCGTTCAGAACTACTCCGCTCTTCCCCAACCCTCATCCGCCCTCAAACGTACCAGCTCCGTTGGATACCAGAACCCTCCCTTCACTTCCCAGCACACCCGCTCCATGTCGATTATGAACTCTGCCAGTCGCCCACAACAGCCGAATTTCCAGCGATCTTCATCGGGTGGGGGTCTTGGTGCAGACGCCGGTCTCTCGTCAGTCCGGCGCTCGGTGTCGAGCAATATCTTCCATGGGCCCAGCGTGGGACGCCCCAGCCTCGCTCCTGGAGCTATGGCATCCAATACAGCGGCTGCGCAGGCGTTACAGCGACGGAGTAGTGTGTTCTCACGCCCGTCCATGGGTGGCGCCATGGCACATCAGTCGTTCTTCACCCAGGTCCCCACAGTAGCTGGTGTCCCAAGAGACCCGAGACCTCTCAGAGACAGGTCTTTCCAGGCGCGGATCGGCCAAGAGCTGTTGGAGTATCTGACACATAACAACTTTGAACTTGAGATGAAGCACTCACTGGGTCAGAACACGTTACGGTCACCGACCCAAAAAGACTTCAACTACATCTTCCAGTGGCTATATCATCGCATCGACCCGGGCCACAAATTTCAGAAGAGCATGGATGCGGAAGTGCCGCCGATATTGAAGCAGCTGCGTTACCCCTACGAGAAAGGCATCACAAAGTCGCAAATCGCAGCAGTTGGCGGCCAAAACTGGCCCACTTTCCTCGGCATGCTACATTGGCTCATGCAACTAGCGCAGATGATGGATCGGTTTCTTCTTGGGGAATATGACGAAGCCTGCGCAGAAATGGGCGTAGACGTCTCGGGCGACCGTATCATCTTCCGGTTCCTTACCAGTGCCTACCATGATTGGCTTCAGGGTGGGGAGGAGGAAGATGACGAAACGGCAGAGAAGAGGCTTGTTCCACATGTTGAGATGATGGCACAGGAGTTTGAGAAGGGCAACGAGAAGTATGTGCAAGAGATGCAGGTCCTCGAGGCTGAGAATCGGGCCCTACGCGATCAGATCGAAGAGTTAGAGAAGAATGCCCCGGACATGGCCAAGCTGGACAAACACTTCCGCATCTTGGAGGACGACAAAAGGAAATTCGAAGATTACAACCAGAATGTGCAGGGCAAGATTGAGAAGTACGAGAATCGCATCAAATTCTTGGAGGACGAACTCAAAAAGACCGAAGCGGACCTGCAAGCGGCGGAGGATGAACGGTCCGGGCTCCAGGCCAGTGTCGACCAGCAGGGCCTAACTATTCAAGACATCGATCGTATGAACACCGAGCGCGAGCGGCTGCAGAAAAACCTTGAAGACACTGTCAACCGGTTGGAAGAAACGCATGCCCGGGTCATGGCCAAGGAGGCGGAAGCAAGCAAGAAGCTAGAGGACTTGGAGGAGGTGGTCAAAGCCTACAACACCCTCGGCTACCAAAACAGTTTGATCCCATCGTCTGCCGTGAACGCCAAGGGGGATGAATACGAGCTAAGTCTGAATGTCAACGAGAGCAATTTCTCGTCATCTCAAATTGGTGGTCTCCCGAACAGAATCTCTCCGGAAGGAGACCGACTGCTTGCGGAGCCTTTCACTGGATACCACCCGGCTCACTTGTTGAACCTGGACCTACGTGGTGCCGTTCGTAGTAATCTCCAGACTCTCCGCAAGGACATCAACGAGCGCCGGAAACGCGCAATTGACGATGACATGGAGCGTCGCAATCTGCTGGACAACATCAAGGAGGCGATGGACGAGAAAAGAAGCGAAGTCGAAGCCTTGGAACACAAGCGGCGCGCCGCCGAAGAGGAGTTTGAAAGGCTCAAGGAGATTACCACTACTCAGAAGCTGGCGTCGGATGCCCAAATTGAGAAGATGGAGAAAGAGCTGGCCAAGATGCGCGCTACGCTCAGCGAAAGCGTTCAACTGATGGAGCAGCGTGAGATGAATACCAACATTGAATACGAGCAGTTGACGCTCCGTGCGAACTCTCTACGGGAAGAACTACACACAAATGTGGAAAGTATGCTGAATGATGTTATTCGCTTCAAGGTCCATGTTCAGAAAGGACTGGAAGATTACGAAAGCTTTGTCGTTGATGAAGTCGAGCAAGAGCTGGGAGGTGATATGCAGTTTGCTGAAGAAGAGGATATTGAGATGGTTACCGAAGAGCTATGAACCCGGCTGAGCCAGAGTGATGGCTCACATTCATGAGAGAATACACTGTTCGATCCACAGGGTTCATTATTCGGCTGGGCTTGGTTTGTTTGGGGTTTGATTCTCAGGCGCTATTGGTAGGTTCTGTTGTAGTATGGGCCACGTTCTGTTCATGTCGGTTCATACTAGGTCTGGTCTTTCTACCTTTTTGTTTTCATTGATACCTTTGGCCACTGGTCGCTATTCGGGTCGAGTCATTGATCTACCTATCTACCTTCATACCTTCAGGGTTTGCATATACATGAATTCCCTTTGATTAATATGTTACATAAGGCACTGTTGTATTTTGATAGCATTGTCTGAGACTTGAAATGCCAAATTCCATCATCACCTGTGCAGTCTATCTATCAGGTCCAAGGCTATTAAATTATGTGAGGTATACTTATGTCGTACGTAGTATTCTAGATGATATTGCATTGTTACTGAGTACTGAGTAAATGGCGCATCACTGATTGGCGACGAGATAAGCCCCTGTGGCTGAGTCAGCATATAGCTATCAGTGCTGCTTTTGCCTTCCATCTGTAAAAAGTTCCTCCCGCCAGGAACTGAACTTTTCCCAGCGCCAATAACTTTCAAAGAATCTTTTCTCGTTGTCAATCCCGTCTCTTTATCGTCTTACCAAGAACCATTTTCTACATAATATATTCTGCTCTGGTTTTATGGTATACATTTGACCTGGTCCCTGTGACTAGACATGCGTCACAGAATACTCTTTCAACGGTCACTTCGAGTTTTGGACTTCCTCCGCCCGTAAGCCACCTCCGCTAGTACCACTATCGTGTCATGAAAAGGTGCTTGTCCTCAGCTCGTCCGCTGCGCCCGCATCATGGGCCTTCTCGAATCTCCTCTCCTCCTTCGATCGGTCATTTCTGCGAAACCCATGCCTCTTCCCCTCCCAGCTCGCGCTGGGCTTCCTCCGCGGCGCGGCGACGTGGGATCTACCAACGCTTCGCCGCAGACAGCACAGCCTTCACTTATGAATTCATCAGTGCCCAGGGGATGAGGAAGATGCCGCAACCCAGAGTAGGTGAAAAGGAACACGACCCCAGTGAACGCTGGCTCGGACTGCTGGAGGAGCGTTTGCCACCACTGTTGCGCAGGGGCTACAATGGGGAGGAGGCGGAGAAGAGTTCGGAACATTCCTCCACCGATTCGTCGTCTATGGCCCAGGAATCTTTCGCAGAAGCTGTCGACATAACCAACACGCTATATCGAGCCCGAAAGCATCGAAACTTGGACCTGCTGACTTATCTTGGCTTTCGGTTGAACAACTGGGCTGCTGTGGATTTCGTTTTAGGTCGTCTGCTGGACGCCTCCGAAGCCGCCACTGACTTCTCGCGGCGCTCGCGGCCACCAACTGGTGTGCATTGGGCCCTGGACCCGAACTCAACGCTTGATGAGCTTTCCCGTCGACCTGTGGATTCTGCGCCTTCTGCTGCACCGGCTCTGGGCCACGGCGCCTCAAATGACCGGAAATTGATTGCGCTGAAGCACGGTACCGCCAGGCCCTTTGCTGCCGAGTTAAATGAGCGCTTTCTGGCGCAGATATGGCAATCGCTGGGTGCCCTTGTACTAGACGCCGCGGATGCATCCCCCAACGAAGCCAAGTTGGCTATGTCGGTTGTTCACCGCACTCTTGCCCGTCTACATACCTCTGGCGCTATATCCGACAAGGTTTATGATTGGACTCCGCCCCTTCGATTTCAGAGCTCATTTCGGCCTCCAGGGATGTCCTTGCTCAAGTCCTCAATCATGCAAGCTCTGACTGATGCTGCATGGATGGAGTACGAGGCAGACATGGCTGACAAGGCTGCTGCAGTAGGCCAAGAATCACCCTTCATTCCGGTCAACCCGGTCATCCGTGAACTAGGACCATCAATTTGGATGGAGTTGATTCTCTGGTGCTGTGTCGAGCAAGGCTTCACTGAAGAGGGGGTGTGGCTCATAGAACGAATGAAGAGACATTCGGGCGACATCCGCTGGACGGCCAAGAACTGGAACAAGCTGCATATGATCGACGAGTCCGCACGCGTTTGGAAGACTGATATCGACCTGGAAGGCAAATGGCGTGAGCCACAGGACCCTGGAGTGCTCTACAGGCAACTTCAGGAGAATTACATCAAGAAAAGGCTTGACCTAACTCCCTTCGTCGGGATGGGTGAGCGAACGATTAGTGAGGAAGTTGTTTGTGCATTGTTCGACAGTCTCCCAAACCTGGCATATTCAGGGACCGGTTTCCGAGGCATGTCACCCAGCCGCATGGCGTCTTGCGTTTTCTCATTAAGGTTCATTATCTCTGCACCGAGGGTCAAGCGTTTGTTCGTGACAACCCAGAGATTTAATTCTTTCCTCATGCGGGTGCTATCAGCTGGAGGGATCAACGCTCAAAAGGACCCTACTTGTGTTGTTGAACTTCTCAAGACCTCACCGACTGTAGTGCCGCCTTGGGTCCCGCCTTACGTGCAAGTCACGGATATAGGGCATCTCGAGAGCTTGCATCAGTGGGATTTCTACAATCAAACTCTGGCGCCAGTTGGCCTGCTCGAATACACCCTTAGGTATTCTTCGTCCTTGCGACGGTCTGGGGAGGCCTTACGAACATTTGCATGGCTGCAGGAAATAGAAGACGAAAGCAGACAACAGCGGACAGACGAATCCTTTAACCTGGAAGCCGTAGGCGCTGGGGACTCGCTCGACTCTTCTTTGTCACCCATGCCGCATCTGTCGAGTGTGACGCTGGCCGAACTGCTCGACTTGCTCACTGCGTCACGGGCTTACGAGTCCGCTGAATGGCTATTCTCTGCTACAGACGTCGAAAGGCCTGCTATCTCAGAGGACGTGTACGGTGACCAGAACATAGCACCATCAATCCTTCGCTTTGCCGCCGCCACGAAAAACCAAGCCCTCGCTAAATCCGTTATTGCATCTCTTCAGCAGCCTCTCTCCACTAACACCTTGCGTGCCCTTCTTAACTACCGCATAGTTCAAGGCGAATGGGATTCAGTGGTAACAGTGTTCGCGTACCTTCGCCGCCACCGCCATAAGTCCTGGGGTCACAGCAACGTTGCCACCTTGGCAGCAGAGATCATCCGTCTGGAACACGCGATCCAAGAGTTAGGGGAAGATCCGGAACGCCTCGGTACAGACTATGAGCGGAAGCGCGCCAGCCTCGTCAGTTCTTTTGACACAGCGAAAGCAATCCTCGGCCGTTTATTTACCGGAGAGTTCAACGAACGCCAGGGCCCGATCCTATCGGGCAGCGCTGTCCCCGTCCAGAGCCGGGACTTCCAACAACGTGTCCTCGCGAGTTTTTGCCGCATTTTCCTCGATTTCGTGGATTCCCCTGCCCTTCGTGATGTCGCCGCTTCCAGCACGCATCACCAAAAATTCAAGGTCACTTCGCGCACTTTGATCCCCTACATTCCCTCGACTGCGTTCCACCAGATCCTCGAGGCCGTCGTTGACACGCAAGGCAGCGCCGCGGGCATGAACCTCTACTTCAAGACCTGCTTGGATATCCTCTCACCGGAAACGGTCAGGATGCGGGAGGGCGGCATCCCGCGCATGTACCTGCACTCCGAACGCGTCCTCGAGCGAGCCGACCCCCACTTCGATCCGGTGTACTTCCGGGGCAAGCAGGAGAAGTGTGTGATTCCGAACCTGAATACCATTCGGATCATCCTACGGGCAGCGATGAAGGAATACAACGCCAACAACACGGTGCATGAGGACACAAGTCACGATGACGACCACGACACGGCTGAATCGTTCTTTGATCAGGATGCACGATTAGAAGACTACTTCGAGGGCAATTACTGGGCAGATAAAATCAAGGCCCGAAAGGCGGCGGCAGCGGCCCGGTCTGCCGACGGCGCCCTGCATCCTCCGCGCGACCCAGGTCAGCCAACAACGCCGCCCCAGTTCGAGCCACGGTCCACAACATTACAGCCAGGCTCCGAGTCCGAGCCGAGAGAAGCGCCCGCATCGATGAGAGCGCACGTCCTCGCCGATCTCCCCGACCATCCCCGCGAGCGGCCCCAGAAGCTGTTGAGCCGGGAGAACCCGTCCTGGCCCGTCCTGGACTTCTGCATCCGGCGCTACTTCCGCTTCGGCCTCTCCTACAGCGAGGTCAACCGCGAAACCGGCGGGTATCTGTCCCTGCAGCGGCGCGAGTACTGGGGCGAGAGCGTGCCGGGGCCCGAGCTCTCCGTGCGCACCCTCCCGGACCGGACCACCCTGGTCGGGCCCGAGTGGATGCTCCGGAGGCCGCATGCGGTTGGGGACGGGCGGAAAAAGATCATTAAGTGATCTTCCTTTTTCTTTTCCAGGATTCCACGGTCCGCGGCGATGTGGCTTTTGTATAGATAGACGTTCCGGTTTCTTCTCCCCCTTACTTCTGTGTGTGGGTGTTGCGTGTGCGCGGATGAAGGGCCCAGGTTTCTTTCTGACCTCGAGGGATCGAACTCAATGTGTGTGTGTGTTTTATACTAGATGTGTATAGCCTGACCTGTACAGTTGCCAGGACCTCTTCTCCCTAAATGTTAGATTTTTTTATATACCACTCTGTCTATTGATTGACCTTTTCCAATTAATGCCCTAGTATCATATTAGCCTTGTCGGTCCCCCCTTTCCGAACAACCGCCTATAATAGACCTGGGTTCTCATCAACCTTACTGTAAGTATTCATAATGATTTTCAACCACTCATAATCATGACTATACTCAAACTGTTCAAGATTGGAATATAAGTAGGTGTAAAAGTGGTTGTGTATCGATCAGTATGTTGATTTAGTATGAAGTATTGACCAGGTTAAGAGATGTGTCATCCTTACTGTAAGGTTAATAGACCTTGAGAACAGAGGTCATAGAACTGTTGACATTGTTAACGATATGGTGTTAAGTGGTTGATAACTGCTCGCCATCAGTTGCAACTGGATTCCACCCAGTCTTCAGCTAGTATTATACTAACTGCAACTTCAGCCCCCTCTCCACTAGATATGAACTGCCAGCACCGAACCCACCCGTCTATGGCAAATAGAAAGTAGAAGAGGTAGAGAAAACTCGAATATGGTATTCCTGATCTCCGCAACGAGATCTGTACAAGAGAAGAAGAGGCTGTTATAAACCGAGAGGGAAAAATAAAAAAACATATAAATCAACCATCCCACCCCATTCATTGATTCATCCATCCGTTAGATTCATGACAAATTTCCACCAGCGCCAGTAAAGTCAGGCCTCGTCGCTCAGGCCAGACTTCATTTCCCGTCTCGCCTGCCTAGTACTCCACGTAGCAAATTTACCGCAGTACACAAAGCCCAGACGTTGCTCGCATAGAAAACCAAATACAAAGAAGAAGCAGGAGAAGAAGTCAGAACATCGTTGCGAATGAGAATATAAGGCGCGGAGCAAGCGAAATAGAGACAGATGTCAGAGCGCATTCGACGCTCAATATATATGAGACAACGTTGCGAAGAGGAGAATCAAGCCCGCGCACAAACTCAGGAACGCTGTATTGGGTCTTCAAAGCTTCAAGACCATGGTCAACAATAGTCAAAGAGAAATTTAGGTAGGGGCCAACCAAATTGTGCGATATCATGGTGCATCGTGGCAATAAGAATTGGTTACTGGGAGTAGAAAATAGTACTGTCAGACCGACTTTCCAAGAAGACAGAAAGTCGAATTGTACTTATCACCCCCATGGTTGATCCTCATCCCCGAAGGATGGGAAGAAAGAGCGAATGAATTCGCCGCTTATCGGGTCATACGGGAAATATGCATCGCCGCCGGGACTGGGGTCGGAAGGCATGAAACTCATTGACATGCCCGAGTGCTGTTGTTGATGTTGGTATGGCTGCTGCTGCTGTTGATCCTGAGGGTTCATGGTAAGTGACAATCCAGAATCATGGTGCAAATTGGACACTTGCGACGCAACAAGAGATTGGTTCATGTCAGCAGATGTGTAGAAAACGGGACCTGAGTTAGCGGTCTGTCCGGCTTGATGTTGGCCAGGTTGAGTCACATCGTGCGGCCGAGGGTCGTATCCGAAGACGGGCATATCGCTGATATCGTAGTCCATTCCATAGGAAATTTGCCGGAGACTACCAAAACACAATTCCCAGGCACGTCGAGATGCCAAGCTATTTTGTGCCATCGCAAAGAGCCAGCGGATGGCCTTCTTTGTGGATTCTAGAAAGGCCATCTCATCCTCTGGCTTGTGAATACAACCAAAGGATAACTCCAACAGTAAGACCGAGGTCGCTTGCATCAAGTAGTGCAGAATACACCACCAGGGGCATACTTGGTAAAGACGGGCTGCGTCTGGCACATCCGGCATCAAGTCGAGCATACGTCGAGAAGAATCCAAAGTTATAACCGCCATCTCGTGGCTGAAGGTTGGCTTCTTGCTAGCAGCCGTTTGCCTTGCGTCACGACGACAGAGGCATGGCCGTCCCAGAGTGATCCGCGCGCTATAGTAGTGGAAAGCGAGGAATAGCTTGACACGGATAACATCCGTGCTCTGATCTTCTCGTCGCGAGAAGTCGTACGCTTCATGGAGATTTTGGTACCAAAGGTCAATCCGAGACCGAAGTTCACCAATCCGGTTCTCAATGTGACTCCACGGGATGGAAATACAATCAAGTGAGTACACCCGATTGACAATTTCCTGTGCAATGACCGCGAGGTCGACATAATAGAGAAAGCCTAGGGCGCTGCTCGGGGGCAGATTTCGCAGCCACGAGGTATCGCGCGGTTGATCTGACGCTTCGGCTTCTCTGCCACCCCGGGGGTTAGATGGCATCTGCCGAACGGATGTAGAAGCAAGGGCGGATTCGATGTAGTCTTGACGGATATCTGGGTTGTTAAGGAGCCTGGTCGCAGCCGGCTCCGAGAGCTGTTCCTCCTCGAACGGAAGTGGCAATGGCGTCGTGCAGATGCCATCGGTGATGCATGAAGCCCGCCCGGTCATGATACCCAACATGTGCTCAAATGTATACAAACACCACCAGACACGGTAGCGTGCTTCTTTAGAAATCTTAGCCGTGTTTTCGCTGGTATTCTTCATATTGAGCCCTAGTGTGATAGCAGACCGTACAGCCAGAGCTGCGATTCTCCACGCCCTAGTTGGTTGCGTGTTAGATGGGACGGCATACATGAGGGAGTGGACTATAACTGCCTTACCTGTTAATTTGGTCCGTAGAGAGTAGATAATATGCGATTAAGCCTTCCACCTGAACCTGCTGAAGATCAGGATGACTGAATAGCACATCTCCGTTCATGCTAAGAATCCGAGCTCGAGTGAGATAGACCAGATGATCGTTGTCGTCCCCGCGCCAGGGCGCCTGCGTCAAATGGGCATGCTTGGCGGAGATGGCGAAAATCATATTGAGGATGGCTAGCCACTTGTCACCGGGCCGAGCGGCGCTATCAAAGAAGGTCTTGTACTGTGCGGAAAAGAGGGTGCGGTTGACAATTGGAAAGAACGGGTGCACGGTCTCCAGGTAATCCTGAAAGAGCTGATCGGCCACCTTCCGTGGCGGCATCCAGTACACATGCACGGGCCCAGGAACAGAAATGTCCATGTCGTCTAGGTGGTAGTTGACCGAATGAATCGCGAAATCGCTTTCCTGGTCCGCGTCGTAGAAGCCTGGCAGTCGGCGGGAACGTTGTTCGGCCTCCTTGCGCACTCGCTGCATCCAGATGACCTCCGAGTTCTTGCCCATATAACCCGTCGCTCGGGAACTCGGGGTTCGGTTTACATCTTCCTCGACACGATCTATTGCATCCAGCGATCCGATTGATGAGGTTGAAGATACGTCATCGTCTGCAAATTCGTCCTGCGGCGTTACGGAACTCGACTGTGCTTCGGTGGACGTCGCGGTGCTTTCACTACCCGAATGCTGATCAGGGTTAACCCAACGTCGCAGGTTGTTTCAAGGGACATGAAGAAGCACAGAACACTACGGGCTATGGAGGGAACACTCACCTTCTCTAAAACAAGTTTTATTCGCTCGGCAGCGCGACCGTCCACGACGGAACTTAGGTCCCGCAGGAGGTTTTCATAATCGGAGGTCTTGGTAGAAAGCTTATTCAACTGCCTAAATGCTTTAAGTCAATGACCAGCGCAAGGGAAGCGTGCGATAAGATCGACAAACGTCTTGGTCCGTTCACGCCAGGAGATCGGATATCGGCAGCTAACCCGCAGCTCCTTGCACTGCCTACACACGGGCGTATCCCCACTACACTTGGTTTTGCGATGCCGACAAGATTCGCAGGCCAAAGGTACGCGACGAGCATAGCGTGGGGCAGCCCCGGACCGCTGTCGGGGGATGGCAACCTTTTTGCTGGCGTTGGTGGTGGGGAGCAGTGGTTTTCTATCGGAGTTCGTGCCTCCGCTATTGGTGGTGAGGGTCGGCCGCTGTGAAGGTTGTGATGACGATGTACTAGTCAGTCCTGGCGCGTTGGACGACGAGACTGACGGCTCTTCCGGATGGGGACGAAGAGGCATTCGACCTTGCGGATGGCCTTCATCCCCGTCCGGTAGATTAGATTGTGCTTCCATGGTGTTGTCTTATCAGAGTAATGAGTGGCAACGGAGGGCGGACGGCGGACGGCGGACGGCGGGGGTTCGCTTCGATGATGGTGGTCACTTGCTTTCGCTGGTTTTGAGTTATCCGGTAAGTGGTTGACGATTGAGATATTGCAAACTGTATATTAAATTCTTTCGAGCCTAGAGCATGCACAGCCAAAACAGGAACATGATGGCCGTCCGGCGGAAGGTTCCAAAGATGAGATGAGGCGATTAGAAGCGCGAAGGGTTTGCAGCCACAGCCAGCTGCAGCGCTTAGCAGTAGGGTCCGAATCGGAAGTGGTAAGAGAGCGAAGAAGAGGGGAGGGGAGTGATGAAAGAGAGAAAAGAAGACAAGCGGTGATAATGTGTGGGAGAGATGAGGGAAGAGACTAAGGTACTACTCATACAGTGATGGGGAGGGGGAGAAGGAGAGAGAGTAAGTTAGTGGATGCGGGCACTTTCCTGGCAACAATGCAGGCTGCATGACAGGCGGGCGGGCGGTGACAGTCACGACTGTTAATACTGTTAATACTGAGTAGGTTTAGTACCTCGACGTGGTCCAAGCTCAAGACTCGATCGCAATCGCCCCGCCATGAAGTCATGATCATGGATCTTTCCTCCTTGTTCTGGTTCACGCGTTCCTGACTTTCTACGGTCTTCTGCGAGTGCATCTACCTTTTTTTTTTTTTTTTTTTTTTTT